GGATCGGCCTCGGCAATATGGCTGCCCCCTTTAACGGGGACAGAAGCCTCTGCTAGTGCGAAGAGCTACACTCGTGAGGTGACGTAAGCGGTGCGGGAACCGGAAGTGACGCAGTTGGTTTGAATTGTGATCCTGGGAGAGAGCCGGCCGAGGAGCGGAGCTGGTAATGGGTGGAGAGGAGATACTATATACTGGGTGTATACGGGAAAAGGGTTTTATACAGGGTCACGTATCGAGGGAAAGATCATCTGGAGTCTGATTGGTTGTCATTGGAAAGAGAACAGTTCCTTCCACCATCAGGGTGTCTGCTGGCTCGCTCTGCTTGGGCCTCGCCTGTCCCGATATGGAAAAAAACGATATGGCGGGTGACACCGAGAGTGAGAGGAAATCCAAAATGTCAGGTTGTCACAGGACAGAAAATGAAGGAATACTCCAATGGGGACACTTGTTAGAGAGGATATTTCCTTTGGAGAGACTTCCTGTTGTTTCTCTGGGACAGGAAGTGAAGGGAAATCTCCCCAGTAGGGCGAGTATAAGACACTGTCTTTTATATATTTTTTTAAATGGATAAAAGACACTAGGTCTCATTTTCGGGGGATGTCTTATATTTACCTGGCTGCAGCTGTCCGCTCTCCGATCTGATGCCGTCCACTTTGACCCCACTGGCTATGCTGTGCCTGCTGGGAAATGTAGTCTTCAGCGGCAGCCGAGGCAGACAGGTGGGTGTACGTGTGGGGGGAGGGAGCTGCGGCCGGTCATGTAAAATTCTATTATATGTGCAGCTACCCCGAAAGTAAGACCTAGCGCTATCTTCCGGGATTTCTGTAATATAAGACCTACCACCGAACTAGGTCTTATTTTCGGGGTAGGTCTTATATTACAGAAATCCCCGAAGATGGCGCTAGGTCTTATTTTCGGGGAAACACGGTAGCAGTCCATCAGATTAAAGCTCTCTTTCCCAGGGATAGTTCAGACTAGTTCATGTAGAAGTCATTGATAAATATTAGGGGTGTCCCCCATGGAGTTTGTTTGTTCAACTGTGTCACCTCTTGCAGATCATGGAGAAGGCGGAGTCAGATCAGTCGACGAGGAAACCCCGCGGTCGCCCGAAGGCTCCTCACAGACGTGGCTCCAGGGAGGACCTTGATGTGTCGGTGGTGTTCCCGGGCCTGGTGACCAGAGAGAGCTGCTGCCGCTTCACCTGCGAACTTCTGAAGCACATCCTGCACCAGAGACACCAACTGCCCCTCCCGTATGAGGAGCTGCTCCGCACTCACCAGAGGCAACAGGTGAGGGGGAAACTGATCTACGTCAACCAAGGGCCACATTTCCCGCTGCACGCTCTATGGGACATGTCGGAATATGTAGAAATGTGGGCAGCCCAAGTGAATCATGTTTTGTTGAAGAGGAATGGGAGGTGGAAGAGCATGTTCCCCCAAGAGGGGGGCAGACGGAAAGAAGCATGTGTTCCTCCAAGAGGGGGTGTGGAGGAAAAGCCTGTATTCAGACAGGAAGAAGCGCACGTGTCCCTGATGGGAATGGACGGGAAGAAGCATGCGTTCCCCCTGAGAGGGGGTGGGAAAAGCATGCGTTCCCCCTGAGGGGGGGGGGGGGCGGATGGGGAAAAGCATGCGTTCCCCCTGAGGGGCGGCGCAAGGAAAATCGTGTGTTCCCGCTGAGGGGGGGCAGGGAAAAGCGCCGTTTTCTAAATGGGTTGAATGGAAATTGCGCATTCCCCCTGAGGCAGGCGGCTGGGAAGTGTGTATTCCCGCAAGGGGGGCGGATGACCCCCTCAGAGGGAACGCACAGTTCCCTACCCCCAGGGGAATGTGCTCTTCCTGTCCAACCCAAGGAAACATGTGCTTCCTTTCCGCTCCCCTTAGAGGATCATGTGCTCCCCCCTTGGGGGGAACATGTGCGTCTTCCTTTCCGCTCCCCTTGGGGGGATATACAGGAAGTTTCCTCCTCTGGACTCTCTCCCCTGTCCCATGTCTGCCTTGTCCCTTCTCCTCTCAGTCCTCGGTCATTGTTTGTATGGTAATATTGAAGTGTAGTTCTCCCCTCAGACTGTGGAATGTTCCGGTCCTCTGTACTGATCATGTTTCTGTCTCTCGGTTTCAGGAGGGAGAGGTCATCAGAAAACCAATAAAAGAAGTATCGGATTCCCGCCAGTGTCAGCGTTCTCTGTCAGCCTTGGAGGAGCTGCTGGTCCAGCTGGAGACTTTGTTCACTCTGACTGCAGTTCCTCAGGTCCTTCTGCTGCTGGGAGGAACTGCAATGGTCCCCAAGGAGATGTATTTGATCGACATGGAGGGCGTACAGATGGGCAACGGAGAGGAGAGCCTGAGCACGCGGCCTTGTCTCCGGCAGCTTTTCCACGCTCTCTTCCTGGCTGACCCGTTCAGTGATCTCCGGTCCACCTCCCCCATGAACGTGTCCATAATGGTGCAGGGACACAGGGACTGCGGCACAGAGTGGTTCCGGCCTAAACTAAACTACAAAGTGCCCATCCGGGGCCACACACTGACAATCAGAATGTCCTGCAGTTCATCACAGACCCCCACCACCGCCTATAGCAATGAGGAGTACATCTGGTTCCAGGCACCCATCACACTGAAAGGATTCCATTACTGAGACCCTTCCTTATGATCTCTCATACCAAAGACTGACAATCCATTGTGTGCCTTGGGGGTGTACCATACATTAATAAACCTCAGGAGGCTCCACCCAGCCTCGACTTTTCAGGACCTCAACATGACTTTCACGTGTGGTGTAATGCACTTTTACTATTAGGCAACTCATGAGACGTCAACATACCTCCGACAAATCGTCTGACTCTGGCAGCGCTCTAAGCAGTAATGGAAGCCGTGCAATAATTCCAGGGGGGGGCCTCAGATACAGCTCATTTAATGTCACATATATGTACTATTCAGAGGATGTCATATCTACAGGAATGGATCACAATATAGGAGTGCAGAGACGGTGTCGCCCTCTTGTGGCAAAGCCTGGAATTGTGGCCTGAATGCTGTTTAGAGTATGCACAGGCGCTTCCTCTGCTCTGCTGCTGCACAAGGCCTTGATGCAGGATGCCTATTACAGCAAACAAGGTTTTTGGGGGGCTCTGTCCGGCCTGTTTCTCTCAGTAAACAAAGGAATTATAGACTCAGAGTCTGTGGGGGAGACACATTAACTGCTCTCAGTCCCTGTTTACATTACTAAGCGCGTCAAGTTTGCGCTAAAGCCCTTAAATTATTTTTGTGATACACTAATCGTGTTTAGCCTTTTGCAGATAATGAGCATTCAGGGTCTTTGAAAGATGAAGAGCATTTCCTGTCATCCTTAGGAAAGATAAGTAGCATTTGGGGGTCACCTTTGGCAGATAATGAGCTCTTGGTTCCCCCTTCAGCAGGTAATGGACATTCAGGGTCTTTCTTCTGCAGATAATGTGCAATTTGGGGGTCCTCCTAAGAAAAACATGAATTGAAGGGTCTGTGTTCTGCAGAAAACGAGTATTTAGGGTGAGAATTCGGCAGATAGCGAGTATTCGGGGGTCTACCTTCAACAGATAATGGGCATTCTTCTGCAGACACCGGGGTTTTAGGGTTCACAGACAATGGACATTCACGGTCCACATACTGAAAATAAGTATTCAGGGTGTGCATTTGTCAGGTAACGATTATTTGGGGTCTGCCATCTGCAGATAGCAAGTACTTGGGGTCAATCTTCTGCAGCTAGCCAGTATCCAGGGTCCGCCTTCTGCAGACAGCAAGTATAAAGAGTCCGCCTTCTGCAGATAGCGAGTATAGAGGGTCCGCCTTCTGCAGATAGCGAGTATAGAGGGTCCACCTTCTGCAGGTCTCCAGGATCCGCCCTCTGCCGGTGGGGCCAGTGCCCGGTCATCCCAGGGATCTGCTGGTTTTTGTTTTACCTCCGATCACCTGACTCCTCTCTGTGATCACCTGACTGTCCCATTTTTAGGGCTGCAAAAACTAATCGATTATGAGAATAGTTGGCAACTATTCTCATTATAGAGATTTTTTTTTTTTATGCAACCAATCGATTAGTTGAAAAAATAATCGGGACCAACTAATCGATTATGAAGATATTGGTTAGCTGCCGCCCTCCCCATTTTATGATTTATAATCTTTTCTCTATTTTTAATATGCTGTGGATGGAAATCTGAGGGCTCGGCCTGCGTGAAGGGCTCGTGCTGCTTGTATGTTTACCGTGATAATCATCACAACAGGATCAGGAACAGACAAATATATTTTTCTACATCGTATCTGGTTATTTTGTAAGTGCTCAGTGATGATTTATTTAATTGCATGAAGGCGCTTTGATTGTAAATGTTTTATTTGAATGAGAAGCTATGAAAGCATATTGCCTCCTCCTCCCCCGCCCTTTGTGGTTGTAAATTGAATTGTCATTTCAGCCATTTGTTTTATCTTCTTTTATGAATAAATGAAAGTTCTAATTTCCTCGTAATGTGTTCTCTCTCTGTGCAGCCTCGGTGGAGCCGGCCTCTCCTCCACACTAATGTCCTTAAATGAACGAATGTGCAGTGAAAGTGTCTTGCCGCACTGGGGGTCCCGGGTTCGAATCCTGGTCAGGGACACTATCTGCATGGAGTTTGCATGTTCTCCCTGTGCGTGCGTGTGTTTCCTCCGGCTACTCCGGTTTCCTCCCACACTCCAAAAAACCTGCTGGATGGTTCATTGGCTCTGTGTGCGTCTGCAATAGGGAACTTAAATTGTAAGCTCCTTGGGGGCAGGGAGTGTGAATGAGCAGTATGTAAAGCAAAACAGATGACAAACGCACTCATCAATTTGTCACCGGCGTTACAGTAAGGTGCACACGGAATGGGCTTTAAACAGTAAAATAGCAAAACGTTTTCCTGGCACACTCACAAGCTAGCATGTAAAAAAACTTGTCTCACACTAAGATGCATGGGGGTTCTCAGCTGCCATTGGGATGTGCGGGATCCCTTGTGCGTTGTTGTGCCTTTAAGGGGGTTGGGCTTCCTCCTGACAAACCTGCACCCAACTTTATCTTCTACCCACATGTGCTCCAGGATGGAGGCTCTGATAGTTTAGAGTTAGGACTGCACTATAAGAGGTGCCTTGGCGCGGCTGTGCGTCTTTCACATTTTCTGCAGAAGACGTGTATCCAAACCTCTGTCATTGTCCTTAGTGGTGAGACAAGTTTTTTTTACATGCTGGTTTGTGAGTGTGCCAGGAAACGTTTTGCTATTTTATCGTGCAGTATGTAAAGCGCTGTGTAAATGGCTGACGCCATATACATAAAAAATATGTCAGTTTAACACTTCCAGGTATTTATTACCGCTCACAGTATTTCCCCAGACAATGCCTTCATCTGCTTTTCTCTCCAAAAGGATGGAGCCACCTTTGTTCCGCCATCACCCCACTTCCTGGACTGAGATGCCCGCTTAGAGATGATATGATCATGTAAATCCAGGTGCCTGCACAGTTCTTGGCTGTGTTCTGACACAGAGCAGCCCCTGCTGCAGCCTCTCATTTTATGACTTGCTACAAATATTGCAGTCTGATCACTGGGGGGAGGGGTGACTGAAAAGATGCTTCCTCCTGTCTGCAGCAGACTGATAATTGTGGGGAAAGACTGAGGAAATGCTTCCTCCTGAGTACAGCAGTCTGATCACTGGGGGAGGGGAGACTGAGGAAATGCTTCCTCCTGACTACAACAGACTGATCACTGGGGGAGCGGAGACTGAGGAAATGCTTCCTCCTGACTACAGCAGACTGATCACCAGGAGCGGGGAGACTGAGGAAATGCTTCCTCCTGACTACAGCAGACTGATCACTGGGAGAGAGGAGACTGAGGCAATGCTTACTCCTGACTACAGCAGACTGATCACTGGGGGAGAGGAGACTGAGGAAATGCTTCCTCCTGAGTACAGCAGTCTGATCACTGGGGGAGGGGAGACTGAGGAAATGCTTCCTCCTGACTACAGCAGACTGATCACTGGGGGAGGGGAGACTGAGGAAATGCTTCCTCCTGACTACAGCAGACTGATCACTGGGGGAGCGGAGACTGAGGCAATGCTTCCTCCTGACTACAGCAGACTGATCACTGGGGGAGCGGAGACTGAGGCAATGCTTCCTCCTGACTACAGCAGACTGATCACTGGGACAGAGGAGACTGAGGGGATGCTTCCTCCTGACTACAGCAGACTGATCACTGGGGGGAGAGGCGACCTAGGCAATACTTCCTCCTGACTACAGCAGACTGATCACTGGGGGAGGGGAGACTGAGGAAATGCTTTCTCCTGACTACAGCAGACTGATCACTGGGGGAGAGGAGACTGAGGCAATACTTCCTCCTGACTACAGCAGACTGATCACTGGGGGAGGGGAGACTGAGGAAATGCTTCCTCCTGACTACAGCAGATTGATCACTGGGGGAGGGGAGACTGAGGCAATGCTTCCTCCTGCCTACAACAGACTGATCACTGGGGGAGAGGAGACTGAGGAAATGCTTCCCCCTGACTACAGCAGACTGATCACTGGGGGAGAGGAGACTGAGGCAATACTTCCTCCTGACTACAGCAGACTGATCACTGGGGGAGCAGAGACTGAGGAGATGCTTCCTCCTGACTACAGCAGACTGATCACTGGGGGAGAGGAGACTGAGGCAATGCTTCCTCCTGCCTGCAGCAGACGTATGACATAGCCTAGCAAAGCCACTGACTGGAGCTCAAGGGCTGTTTTTTAATAAGACTTGGAACTTTTTAAAGAAATTAAACCATTACTGTATATTGGGGCGTGTCAGGAGTTTATTTATGCAGACTGGTGAAGTTACTGACCGGTCCACTTCAATCTGGGTCTTATGTCATCTGTTGCCATCAATTCCCAATTTAGGGATTATAGATAAGGTTGCTGGCTGTGGTCATGTGATTCTAGATAAGGTTGCAGGCTGGGGTCATGTGATTCTAGATATGGTTGCAGGCTGGGGTCATGTGATCCTGTTATAAAGTCTACATCTCATGCGTTGTATGTGGCCTGTGTATAGCTCGAGATGCATCTAATCCCTCCTATTCTGCAATAAGGCCGACTGAAATCTTGATGCTTCATTAACAAAGCCGGGTGGAGGACACGGGTGATAAAGAACAAAGAAACACAATCCGTATAAAACATGAATATAGTGTCCGCTCACGCATACAGAGAAACCAGTCCATTCAGACCAACAATGCTGTCTAAGAGGGATTTGGGCTCTTTCCTCCAGACAAATACTGCGGATGGCAGTGGATTCCACTTTCTAAAATGGAACCTGAACTCCCAACATGCTCTTGTTCTTGTTTCCTTCTCTTTGGGCGGAGGGATGTTGGGAGTTTTACCAAAGAAAAAAAAGCGACAGTATAAACTGCTATAAACAGAGATGTTACTCTGCAGCGCCCTCTTGGGGCCGATTTTGATATTGCAGGTTGGTACGCCTATTCATTTCTCCATGACCAGAGACAGGGCTAGAACCGGGAACCATACAGGCTCCATTTCCTCATGGCAGACCAGTGAAAAGCATGCTGGTGGCTACAGGGTCGCCAAGTCCACGCGTGGGGGTGGGGGAGACACAGACACATGGCGTACAGACTTTGTCCTCAGAGCAAGTTTATTTGCAAACTTGCTCCCTGAACGTTGCGGTCCAATAAATTGAACCGGTGTACAGAACAACAGTGTCATGGTGACCTTGATTGCGAAAGTCAAGCTGTAGTAGGGAAGGGCGAGATCCTCCTGTTATGTTCTTATTTCTGATCCAGTTGGGGAGAGTTGCCCTCATTTCCTG